GGGGAAGGAAAAAAAAAAAAAAAAAGAGGTTAGAGTGGGAGAGAGCCAAAGCATAAGAGACTGTTGAGAACTGAGAGCAAACTGAGGGTTGATGGGGGGTGGGAGGGAGGAGAGGGTGGGTGATGGGTATTGAGGAGGGCACCTTTTGGGATGAGCACTGGGTGTTGTATGGAAACCAATTTGACAATAAATTTCATATAAAAAAAAAAAACAAATACATTGTTACCAAAAACAAAGCGGAACAAAACAAAACCATATTTTTCAACATAACATCATTCATCAGCAAGAGAAAACAAAGTACAAAGTCTGATATGAAGTTAGCTTTTCTGATACTCTTGTGTCTCTTCCTATCATATAAATCTTTTGCCCTTTAAGTTAGCTTCTATGCTAGGCTTTTTAGATGTTAAATGTTAAATATTTTCCCATTATTCTCTGACTTTCTGGCCTTCTTGACTTCAATTTCTCTTCAAATTCATCTACACTCTACCAATGTCAAAGTTACCTTCATAAGAATTAGAATTAATTATTACACTTTCCTGAGTTCAACCTCCATAGACCCGCTAACATTAACAGGCTAAAGGTAATAGTACTTCACAAGAGCTATTTGTGAAAAGCTTTTGTGAAGTTGCCGTTTCATTTGATTCCTGTGATGCCACCTACTTCTGCTTATTCCTTAGAACCTTCTTGATTCCTTTCCTTAGACCTTTCAATATGGAAAGTGCGTTCTCCACAATTTTGTCCCTTCTGTCTGCCCTCCAACTTTTGTACTTTTCCCGTAGAAATCTCAACTGCTCACCAGCTGTTTGGGGTTAAGATCATCTACAGCCCTAAACATTTTCCCAGGTGTCACTTCTGTGTTTTTTAATGATCGGCCCAGTATCTCCTCATGAATGGTCTAAAAGTGCCTCATATTAATTGTGTTGAAAAGAAAACTGGCAGAGCACCTGAGTGGCTCAGCATGTGACTCCTGATTTCGGTGCAGGTCATGATTTCACGACCCTGAGATCAAGCCCCACGTGGGGCTTTGTCCTGGGTGTGGAGCCTGCTTAAGATTCTCTCTCTCCTTCTCCCTCTTCTTCCCCACAGCCTCTCTCTAAAAAAAAAAAAAAAAAAGAAAAAAAAAAAGAAAAGAAAGAAACAAAGAAAACGTGCTTCCCATGTACCATCCTCTTCACCCATTGCCCCACCAAAAATATCATCTTTTCCTGCTTTCCTTGGATCCATTATTGGCATTATTGGCACCATTAGTGTCTTAAGACATAGATTTCAAATTCTTATTGAATTGTGGAATTGGAAGAAATCTTATTATCCAAGCCGTCTCTCAGAATGCCTAAATTTCCTCGACAAAATTGACTTCTGTCCAAAGTATCTGTGAACTCAGCAATTACAGGTTAAATTGTGTGTTTATGTACTTTCTCGGTACATTTCAAGCTTTGCCATGAAAGAGAGTTAAAGCCAATGGACTAGACTCATCCTTTTCTTTTTTTCTTCACTCTCTTTCTTTCTTTCTTTTTTTATTCAATTATTTCCAAATTCTGTCAATTCATTCTCCCCGGTATTCCTCAAATGCAAACCTTTTCCTTTGCCTTCTCCTTTTACACCATCCTCAATTTCAGCCATATTCCTGGATATTCCCTCTGTACTACTGCCGTGCTAATTCGCATATAAAAGAAAGAGACCTTGAGGTGCCTGGGTGGCTCAGTTGGTTAAGCGTCCAACTTTGGCTCAGGTCATGATCTCACGGTCCGTGAGTTCGAGCCCCACGTCGGGCTCTGTGCTGACAGCTCAGAGTCCAGAGCCTGTTTCAGATTCTGTGTCTCCCTCTCTCTCTGACCCTCCCCCATTCATGCTCTGTCTTTCTCTGTCTCAAAAATAAACATTAAATTTTTTTAAAAAAAATAAAATAAAAATAAAATAAAATAAAGAGACCTAGCCAATGAACATTCAGGACAACAATCCGAGATGCTGGAGAGAGAGAAGCTCACAGAATTTTCTTCCTAGTGGTATTAGTTTCTTATTGCTGCTATAAAAAATTACCATACGTTGTGCCTTAAGACATGTTTGTTATTTTACATAAAAGTGTACAATAGGTCAGAAGTTCTAAATTCAATATGTTTTTTTTACAGAGGCTTTTTGGGAGAATCCATTTATTTGCTTTTCCAGCTTCTAGAGACTGCCTACAGCCTCAGCTTATGGTCTCTTCCTTCACCTTCAGAGCCAGCAATGTAACATCTTCAAATATTCAACTTTCTGTGTGTGTGTGTGTGTGTGTGTGTGTGTGAGAGAGAGAGAGAGAGAGAGAGACTCCCTCTGTCTCTCTCTGTCTCTATCTTACTCACAGGCTTCCTATAAATTCCAAGTTGGTGAGAAGATATGACATGAAAATGCTGTGATCTAGGCTAAGAAACTGGAGGCTGTATCTAAGAGATGGCAGAATTCACCGCCAGGGGTTTTTATGAGCCTAACAGGACTCTGTTTAAGGTGATTTTTCTAACACCTTAATTAATTTCTACTGTTAATTCCTGGACCAGAACTTTTCCTATGCCCCAGTCTCCCAGAAGAAACTCTTATAGCCACATAGATTTGTTATCATTTTCACCAGAACTTTCTGGATATCCTCTTGTCTAATTGGGGATGCTGTATATGGTATATTCTTTCACTTTTGAGTAGACTTTAATTCCCTCTAGAATTTAGATATTTGTTTTAATATAATTCGTCTAAGTTTCAATTTTTTCTCATATCTGGGGGCAGAGCTCAGAAATCCAGACTTCTGGAAAAGCCTTGATAACTGTAATAGTCCCTTAATTCACTTTTCCGTCTTCAGTATCTCCCCAATCTTTGCCTCTTTCATGTTTCTGCTTGTTTAAACTGCTTTGATAAAATGTTTCATGTCTCTTTCTTAGGAACAATTAAGGGTTTCCTACAGCCTCCCAAATGATATATAAACTCCCTGTCATTGAATTCAGGACCCTCTACGATCTGTCCTCAAAACTAACTTTAGAGATTTAACTTACGTATTTCTCTATACAGAGCTTACTTCTCACAAGGGAGATACAGCACATTTTTAACTTCTGCTCGTCATTTAGTTCGTATGTGTAAAAGTACCATTTGAAAACCGTGTACAATCAATTGTATGAGGTAAGAGTCACTGCACCGTGAAATGGGGTCTCCTCATTACCCATAATAATTTCTGCTCATGAAGTTTGATAGGCTGACCATAAATAAGGTATTCAGGTGGTGTGTATTTCTTTGGCTATGGGAATCAGGAACATACATTTATAAGCTCATGTAGCTTTCATCAGTGACTCGTTCCTTCCATACAAACCTTTGCGGTCAGGTGAGAGGTCAATGCCACATAACACAGTAACCTGAAAAAATGCCTTCAGATTCTTCAAAAAGAATAAACTGCTCTCCAGAGGTCATTTTAAATGTGGCCTAAATATTTCTATTCACATTTTGCAAGTGGTCACTCCTAAAAATAATCGACCTTGCTGGAAATTTTCATTGTTTCAAAAGGTGAAGCGATGGTAGAACTTTCTATTGTATCATTATATGTCACTTGGACAAGAGCTCATCTCTTTCTTTCTTTCTTTCTTTCTTTTACTTTCTTCGAGAGAGAGAAAGAGTGAGAGCACACATACACACACACATGCACACACGCACACATGCACACACACACACACACACACACACACAGGAGCAGGGGAGGAACAGAGAGAGAGGGAAAGAGAATGTCAAGCAGGCTTAACATGGTCAGCAGGGAACCCGAGGTGGGACCTGATCTCATGAATCCTGAGATCATGACCTGAGCCGAAATCAGACACTGAGTCAGTCGCTTAACTGACTGAGCCACCCAGGCACCCAAGAGCTCATCTCTGAGATCAAAGATCTGTTCTCTGAAAATGCTTATATGTGCAATCGATCTGTAAATAAAAGCATTAGGTTTATTTTTCCCTCATGCTCTTCATAGATCATAGTACAAACTGCCAACATGTCATTTATGTCCTTATCTTTACTCACTGGTAGAACCAGAACTGAACCTGAGAGAGTAGTGTAGAAGTTTAGTTGCCCACGCTATTCATCAAAATGTCTGTCTGGAAAAAAAGAAACTCGTTGCCATGAGAAATAATACTTTGGTTTTTCAGACCTCCACGGAGAGAAAATATCCAGCGTTCACAAAATTCAGGCAATGTAAATTAGTAATGTCTCCAGCTCCCCTTGTTCAACAATAGTAAGTACTCAGGGAAGTGTGTAAGCATCCTTGGAAAATAAATGGGAGGTTGGTGACTTCTGCACAAAGTCTCCTCTAAGTAAGGAATGTCATTTAGTTAAAAATAGTATTAGTGACTGAACTTAGGGATACATTTGTTCTAAACTAATTTAAAATGCTTATTTAAATCTGGGATAAATATCATAGACTACACAGTGATTCAAAAGGTCTAAAATGTTGTTTCTTTTTTTAAAATTTCTTTTTATTTATTTCTGAGACAGAGAGAGACAGAGCATGAGTGGGAGAGGCAGAGAGAGAGGGAGACACAGAATCAGAAGCAGGCTCCAGGCTCTGAGCTGTCAGCACAGAGCTCGACCCAGGGCTCGAACTCACAAACCGTGAGATCATGACCTGAGCCAAAGTCGGTCGCTCAACTGACTGAGCCACCCAGGCGCCCCTAAAGTGTTGATTCTAATACAACAAAAATTATTGGCAGAATTATTGAAACTAAATGAAATGGAAACCTTTATGATTCTTGAAACAAAGCAAGAAAGGAGGAAAAGAGAGGAAAAAGGAAAAAGGAGGTAATGTGCCATATTAGACAACATGCTAATTATAAGTGTCTTGCTTTATTAATTTTATGATAATTGAATTAAGTCACAATTGCATAGGAGTTTTTTTCTGTGTAATCTAAGCAATAAGTGATATTTGTATCGATCAGGCCCAAAGATAAACTGATAATATTGTTTTTTTTAATTATTTCCCATGTATCTAATAAACTGAAACTAATCAAAGCATTAAATAAAATATGTGCAGTTCCAAAACCTTGAGCTTGAAACCCATTGTGTGTGTGTATGTGTGTATATATATATATATATATATATATATATATATGTGTGTGTGTGTGTGTATACATATACACATGTCACTGAGCAATAAGAAATAGTTTGTAGACTAGATAGATTCATAGGTGTAGATAATTTTAATGGGTAAGAGATTTTCATGACCTGCCTGAAGACAATATTGATGGCTTTCCCAAAACTCTCCCAGTGAGAAAGAGAAAGATACTGTATTGACAAAAATTTTCTACCGAAGAATTCGTGGCATTGCTAAATTGATAGGGACATTATTTTAAATGCAAAATAGATACATTTCCTTATTTGAAAATGTCTTCAAAGAGCAAACACTTTTTTAAAAAACAGACATATTTAAGAGCACCTGGGTGGCTCAGTCAGTTAAGCACCTGACTCTTGATTTCAGCTCAGGTCATGATCTCACAGTTCGTGAGTTTGATCCCTGTGTCAGGCTGTGCGCTGACAGTGCAGAACATGCTTGGGATTCTCTCTCTCCCTCTCTCCATGCTCCGCCCCCGCTGGTGCTTTCTCTCTCTCTCAAAATAAATAAATAAACTTCACACAGAAACGTAACATTGAATCTATACTACTTTAAACATATACAAACTCGGTTTCAAATTCCAAGAAAGAAAATTAGAAAAAGATATTTAAGACGGAAGGGAATATTAAGACTTTCACATATCTTTAGTATTGTTAGCTAAACTTTTGTAGGATAGTGGGGTTACTTTCAAGATAGACAGTTCATTACCTTCTCAATTGTGTAAATAATACCGCAAGCAAAAATTAGAAATATCCCTTAATTAGGTCAATGCTATTTTTATTTATTCTAACTTTATGTTTTTTCAATAAGTAGATCCTACTTTATATTTTTAGATGTCATGTTTTAAATCTAAAATGATTAAATGGTATTTATTAATTTGTGTCTTGTAGCTGAATAAAGTTTGGGGATTTCAAGGAAGTTATATATATACCAAAATCACACAACTACTGGAAAAGGAAAACTTTTTTTGAGATTATACCAAAATATTTACTCAATATCGATGTCACTACAAAAAAATCATATGAAACATACAGCCATTAACATTACATATCTCTGCTTCTTACAACGTAGCTTACATATAGGCAAAATTACTGTTTGCTTGCCTGTCCTAATCTATGAAGTATTGCAAAAAACACACCCCCTCCCATAGCTTTCCATTGTACGCTTAAAACATAAACGATTCCTCCCCTTTGGAAAGGTAAATAAACTTTCAATTCTCACCTCCCCAAAAACGTTTACTCATAATTACAAATGCTGAAGTTTCAGCAGTGAAATACCAGAAATAGACTAAGAACAACTGGTCTTTTCTTTTCATCTAAGTCATGCTATAGAAAGATACAGTGGTGATGGTAAGAAGGCAAAGGCTTTTC